ATTAAAGTTCAATAAATGATAAAACGGTATTTCATGAATCAACGAATGTGTGAAATTGCTAAGGTCGCTAATGGAGCCCGAGTCTAGTGTGTTTGTCGGTTAACTGTTATTTGGCCTGTTTTACAGTTTTAAATGCAGCATGAGGTTTGATGTTTTCATTTTATAGTTTCGTGTGCATATTTTACTGTTTTATTGATTATGGATTGAATGACTGGGATATTGATGCTGTATGTTGTCTGTTTGGCATAAATTACTGTTTTGCTTGTTTGTATGTGATTGATAATGCTGACTGAGGGAAAAGGAGAATGAAAGATTATGTAAATGGTAATTGTATAATGTGGTCAGTCTGACTAGATATCCTGGGAGATGGTGGACGGACCGGGTCCGTAGGGAACCCTACCGGGATTGTGGTCTCCCATACCGGACGGGGTATGGAGATCTTATGTGTTTTGGCGCCCATACCGGACGGGGTATGGGGACGGCCTGTTTCACCCTCATACCGGATGGGGTATTGAGGTTTATGGTTTTGGCGCCCATACCGGACGGGGTATGGGGTCGACCCGTTTCACCCTCATACCGGACGGGGTATTGAGGTTTATGGTTTTGGCGCTCATACCGGACGGGGTATGGGGACGGCCCTGGAATCTAATGACGAATGTTAAAGGTTAACGGGTAGCGGGACCCCTATGGACCCCCACGGATACTAGTAGGCTGGTAAATGAGGAAAATATATGTTGTATAATGATTGAATTACAAAAGGCGTGATAAGTGTTATGTTTTACAGTTTATATGATTCCATGATTATGATAATGTTATTGCTTTCGTATATTGTTTTATAAATTCCACCGAGGTAAGTGGATGGTAAATGTTTTATTATTAATAAAAGGATTTGTCGTAAATCATGCTCCATTGGTCTTTTGTGTTTTTCTACCCACCTTTACCTCCGTGACGGTGAGATATCGTGATGTCTTTACTGGGCTAGTGTAGCTCATTCCCTATTTAATCATTTCAGATCAAGAGGACATCGTTCCCGAGCCGATTCCGCAGGAGGACGACGAAGGGGACGCTTAAAGACTCCATAGTCACATTCGTAGTTTTTACTTTCAAGTTTCTCCTTTAGGTAGTTTAATCTTTTATATTTTGTGAGCACGTTTCGGTTTCAGTGTAAGGGATGTTATTCAAATTTTGACCTCGCTTCCGCATTTGATATTTTTGAATATAAAATTCCATTTTAAATTTTCGGGGCTGCTACAGTTGGTATCAGAGCCGCATTTCCTTGGACTCATCCCTTACACAATAGTGCCTTAGAGTAATACTCACCGATATGTCGTTACTCAATCATTCCTTGTGAAAACGAGTACACGGGAATGAGGAGAGGAAGACCCCCACTAAACTAAGCGACCCAAGATAATTCGTTTCGGTAGGATTTAGACAGACTATTTGAGATGGTGGAGCCTCTCGTAGCTGCCCAGCAAAGGCAAGAGGAGAGAAGGGAGTTACCCGGACCTCCTCTGCTAGAACAGGTTGAGCCCCCGCTATAGCAGGCTGATCCCGAGCCACCCCGGCAGGAGCCTGTTCCTCCACAGTACCACCCGGCGCCACAGCCGCGGTACGACCCTGTACCACAGCCACAGTACCAGCAGGCGCCGCCACAGCACATTCCAGTACCCCCACCACATCAGCAGGTGCCACCACAGGGACCCCCAGTTAACCCTCAGCCGGCCCAAGTCCCTCTACCTCGGGACCCCGCTCATTCCTTGATTGACCCCGGCTTCATAGAGAGGTACAGAAGACTGAACCCTTCTACTTTTGCAGGGGGATCCTCTTTTGAAGAGGCCCAATACTAGCTGACAGAGACTGAAAGAGCTTTCGAGACCTTGGGAGTAGTTCCTGAGCAGAGGGCTGCCATTGCCT